TGCGGCACTAGCTCTGTTTCAATAAGACTTCAACAGCCTATTAAATGGAGTGGGGGCTCAATTAACCCAGACAAAGGCCACTCTACAGAACATGGCAGGGAGGACCACAGTTAGCATCTGCCTAAGCAGCTTGTTCCGAGCTGGAAATAAAGAGGGTGACATGTTCTCGCCCCGAGCTATGATATAACTGAAATGGTGATTCTAGTTCATCTGCGCTGACTGAATAGGTGCCGGCATTGAAACCCACCACTATCTCGCCATATGACAGTTTGTAAAATCCGAGTGCACTCAACGGTCACCCAGAGCCTCCTGCCTGCGAGCACCGAGGTATTGTTCCCAGGGAGCTTTCCCCGGCACAGGGATGCAGGGCCGGCGTGCTGCTACGTTTGGACAGTCAGGGGACATCACGTCAGTAGATCTTTCAGGGAATGTTTTAACAATCTCCTGCCAGAGAGGGATTCGGCACGGAGGTGGAACTGGTCTTTGTGTAATCTGATTATTTCATTGGAGGTTAAAATAAGAACGAGAAAATGACACATAAGCAGGGTGGGAGAGAAACAAAATTTTTCAGAAATGCAAATGTTACAACAGCAGCACACCTACGTTTCTCAGTACTTGGTTGAATTTCAAGGATTTTTTTAAAAAGATGTTACTCATGGTTAAACTTGTGTTGACCGTGTTTTACTGGGTAAAGTTGTAATTCTTCCCTTGGTTTTGGTATGAGAAGTAAAGATGTTTGCTATTCCTAGAGAAGAACTATCTGCAGAAATTAGCTGTTATTTTATTTGGTAATCTAGCCTTAGGTTTCTTAATATGTGGTGTTACAGACTACAGGTCTTTATCAAGAAAGTCAGTGATGGAAGAATGGCAAAAGGTGGTGTTATGTGCCCTGGTGTAGCAATCTAGAGACCATGTTGCAATTATTTGCAAGATAATTGTAAATACGAGGAAGCAGATCTTTTTTCCTATGTTAAAAAGGAGAAAATAACAACATTTTTAGCTAACAACCAATCAAGAAATGCAAGAATAAAAACATCTACTGCAAGATTTGTTAGACAGACAAAAAAAAATAGGGGATATGAATTCGTACCTAGATTAATTGAAAACCCTTTCAGAAAATACAGCTCTGCTCAAAAGGGTGTGACCGTTTTCTTTTATTTTCTCTTTTCCTTGAAGAATGCTATGTGTTCATTAGAAAAACATGTGCTCATGAGTTTATACCAAACAGCAATCTTGGTATATTGCACATGCCATAATCTAGTGGCAAGGGCTAATAAATAAACTTGCATTGTTAGCAGAATAGATGGAGGAGCTAGGTCTGCCAAGATAATGTGGAAGAACTGTATGGGCTCTGTAAAGTGCATAAGTGAGTGGTAAGTCCATGGCTTACCTGAAAATAAATGTATATAAATCATTTCCAGGTTAAAGAATCCAAACTGCATCTGTTTTTTATAGATATCAAGCATGTGGATTCATCTGCCTTGTTTTCAGGAATAAGCATGCATAATGCTTTTTCTCAGGACCATTTAGTCTAGTGCTCTGTCCATTTGTCTTTACATGACATTCAAGGTCAAAAAACCATAAGAATTCTTCCCTTCTATGCTAGTCACTTCCAGGTTTATGTGAAGTCTTAGATCTCAAGATTTCCAAGGCAAAAAACATCTGCATTTCTAATGCAGAAAACAAACAAAAGACAATTTTTTTTTGTATCCCCTCCAGAGATAATTAAGAGAGACAAAAGAGCAGAAACCCAATTACTTTTGCTTTGAGGTCAACTTTAAGTATTTCTGATTATCATAGTAAGGACACGTGCTGCTAATTTTATACTTTTATGTAGAGGCTAATTTTCTTTCCTTGGATCTGTATGTTATTATGGTTTGAGGATAAAATAGGTGAATTACCATAGCAATGTATTGATTTCCAGCAGGGAAAAATAAAGGGAAGTTCTTAAATGAACACTGGTTTTCCGATGGGATGTATTTGCTTTACCTTTGTAAGTCTAACTTGAGGTTAATAGGGCATTATTGCCTCTAATCACATCTAACTAGACATGCCTCATTGGTAGAATGCATGCACTATTGAAAGTTCTAGAGGCAAGGTTGTTTTTTAAAAGAGGAGGGGAAATTGGAACAAATTATGTTGTCAAATAACTAGGATCTGCATCAGGCCTTCAGCAAGCATGTTAGGTAGTTTCTCTAGACTTGGGTGTACCTTAAAGTTTATTTTGATTCCTTGAACCTTTGGCACAGAGGGTCTTGTGCTGGAAATGGTACAAGCATGTTGAAATCAGAATACAGGATGAGCATAGAGGATGTGATGCTGGTGTTAGCAATGGTCTAATCCAACAGGGCAATTTTTTATTTCCTTTTCCTATCCAGCGTATTGTCCCAACAGTGACAACAGCAGATGCCATTTGGGAACAGCATGCAACCCTCGCTACTCTCTGCAGTCCTTTTCTCTTCCGTTTTCCCACCCTCCACAACTGCTGGATAAGGAATGTTTGAGAATGCATCATGCCTGTTAATGTTAATGTGTGCTTACTTACTTACTTACTGCTGTCCATGTATTTATTCAGACTTCTTCTAATCTGATGATATCTTCTGCAGATGCAACTGCCTGTGGCAGTATATTCCAGAGGTTCATTCCTGTTGGTTAAAACCAAACTAACTACTTAAAAAATTATTTCTAGGTGGGTCACCTATTTGTTCTGTAACCCCTTGTTAAAATAGTTTGGAACTTGCTGCACAACCATTCACCTTGTCCATAAGCCTCTAAACCTGTCCTCTCAGCCATCTGCTGAGAAGACAGGTTTAGAGTTTGGAGTTTGGAACTCCAGCTTGGAGTTCCATCCAGTTTAGTGTCTCACAAAGGAGGAGCTCTCTCTACTTTATTATTTTATTTGCTGTTCTCCCTACTTTCTTGGCTTTGCTCTGCCATTTTTTTTAGGTATGGAACTGCAAATAGCACTTAAAGAAGTTCTTGTTCATCATGTACATCATTCTCTACTCATTCTTTTCTTTTAAATCATGGTCATTGAATGATAATAACTATTTAACCATAAGACAATAACACATTAGGCAAAGTGATATAATAGGAGAAAAAATTGCTTTGCACACATTGCTACTACTCCTTTTCCAAACAACTTTTTGGCATTAGGAAAAACATACACAATACATAGGCAGCAGATAGATCTTTGCTCCCTGTCAGTCCTTACCAGATATGCTGGCTTTCAGCCAAGCCAGGTTAACTGGAATTCAATTAGCATCTTTGACACTTTTATGCAGTTATTTTTCTACTTTTATTGGCAACTGATTCCCTGTGAGTTTAGCTGCACAAGAATTAAGATGTCTGTTAATTTTTCAACTTAATGAATGGCTTTCAAGAGAGGACAAAAATCAGTGTAGTATTGGAGGCTGAAGTGTGAACAGGAAATAAATGAGTTTGTGTATAACAAATAGCAATATTTCAGAATGTAAATAATATACAAATAATACAAAACATAAATCATAGCAATAGCCAGTAGGAAATCCATCCAGTTCTCTGCTAAAGAAAAATATCAACAGTGTTTGTCTTAAATTCTTACTGAGTGTCAGAGAATGCATTGCAGTATGGGCATTTGTTTTTTTTCTCCAGGCAAAAAAACAGAAAGAGGATGAAAGCAAAATTATAAAGGGTAGTTGAAAGAAAATACACAAAAAATCCCCAGTCCAGAAAGATATATCTCACAGACAATTTATCCATACAATTAAGAATTACGGTTTGTGGAATCAAACCCACATTCTCTTGTTTCTAGATCCTCAGGTGAAAATTGTTTCCTTCAAAGGATCACCAAACCTGGTGAGAGGTTATATTGTGCAGCTTTTGACTGTCACAATAAACCAGGAGTTCAGGAAGAGACTGAGAAGCATCTGAGCAAAGAAAATGAACATCTTTCTGGGATACTTGGATAGCTGCCAGCTCACACATTAAGCTCTGTTTTCCAAACCAATTGTTCTGTTGTTTCAAGTGAGAATAATCTTCATCCTCTGCCTGGACTTCTTGTTTTTCACAAAATGAATTTGCCAGTCTAAATGTGGGGGGGGTTTATTCCCATAAATTCCTGATATATCAGCATTTACCATGGTATATGCATTGATATAATTTATATAAACAGGAGAAGATGATGCTAGGTAAGCATAACAGAGCTTCTGGAAGATACTCAGGAAATGCAGTTTGATTATTCTTTTTGCTTTTTTTGTTGGTTTTGTTTATTAAATGCTAGTTTGCAATAATCAAAACAGCTATTAATTATTAGCAAATATTTATAATGCTGGACTCTGTTTCAAGGCTAAATGCTGCTAAATGTTGCTAAACCTATAATATGCTCAGAATTAAAGATATTAGCCAATATGAAAACTGTAATTATACCATTAATTGTTCATGTCCTGAAAAATATTTGTAACAGATGCCAAACATGGGATTAGGTACATGCTAATAAAAAGCCTCATTTATGGATGGTTTTCAAATGCTGTAAATTACTTTATGATTATCAAAAGGATACACATATGATAAAATGTGTGAATAAGCTTTAGTTTTTCAGCCAAATCAGAAATATGGAAATGTCTTTACTAGATCAGACCTACAGTTAGAGTACAACATCCAGTGCCTGACAGTGAATGACACTAGGATGTGTATTATCCTCTAATAATTAAGTTCTAATGAACCAGGTTTAGCATCCCTTCAGGAATTTTGTGGTTGGTTATGATATATTTGGATTCTCTTGATATTTGTATAATGAAGTCCAATCCACTATTTCATCTTCTTACGTTCTTGGTTTCTTGCTTCCCATGAAAGTTCTACAGTCCAGTGAGAACCTGTGTGGAAAAAAAATCCTCAAATTTTTAAAATATCTTCCAATGTAAATGAATGTTCAACTTATCCTTGTAGAGTGGAATTCTCCTGTACTGTGCATTTTTTAAATAGACTTGCATTTGAATTCTCTCTTTTTCTGCTTTCTCCAGTAAAAAGGACCTGAATGTCAAATAGGCTGTGTCCTGCACTTTGGAATATTGCCTCCCTGCAGGTAAGCAGAATAAATGGATTAGGCAAGTGTGCCATGGTTATTTCTATGATTATAATCACTGATTTTAGTTAGGATTTTGTCAATTATTCTCATAGTTATAGAGAGTGTATATCAACAGGAGCTGATGATCACTCACCTCTGCTTTTGTGCTTTTATTGGAGCTGAAAGAACTGAGATGCAAAAGGAGCAAGAAATATGTTCTTCCTCTCAGCCTCATCAAACTACTTATCTTTTTTTTGATCCATTTTTTGTCAAGAAAGTTTTTTGAGTACTTGGAAATGTGCCACTTCTGAATGTTTATGAGATCTGTTGTAGTTATGATCATAGAAATTATTTTAATTCTTTTAGCCAGTTGAATGTGAGAATGGACACTAGCCTATGTACGTTCAAGTTAGCACCTTAATGAACTTGAGAGTATTGGAAACACTAACAATAAAAATTAATAACTCACAGCCAGCAATTATCTCAGGTAACCTGATGGAGTGGTTGATCCACTGACTGATCGATCCATTGATTGATCCACTGATTTTTAATTTTTTCTACACTTCTAATGTTTTCTATCTGTCAATAGACAGATACATTGGAAATATAATTGGAAATGTGTTTTTTAAACCTGTAGGTGGTAATGTTAATTCTGTAAGTTTTGTACAAAACAATAGCCCCAAGGCTTTTGGTTCCCTCTTCTTTTGTGGGTGCCATGTCATGGCCCAAGCATTACTTGCAGGAACAGGCTCTGACTCCACTAGGCTAAGCCCAAATCCTTCTGTTTTTGGGTTCACACACTGCAACTTGGCATTAGGGAAAAGAGGAGATAAGCAACTACAGGAGGGAAAGTGAGAGAAGGAAAAATCTGTGATAGAACTGCTCATCTCAGACTGTTTGTGGAGGGCAATTTGCTCAGATTTGGTATATTTTACTTAGTTTTGGCTTAACGGTTTGCACTGTTGCTATGTATATTGTTACATTCTCAGGCTTCCTATGTTGCCTGCACTGCTGGTGAGAAGTGGAATCTTATTTTTTCAAAAGGTGTCCTGTGGATCAAATCTGTGCACAGGCTTTTAGAAGCAAATGCTTAGCACTTGGATTTGAACTGAAAAAATACAGCTGCTGCTCCTTTCATTTTAGACAAATTTTTTTCACTCCTGTAGCAAGATATTGGGGTATTATAAATGTAGTTGTATATATAATGCTACCTCCAATTATTTATTTCTGGGGAAGATGGATCTGTCTATCCATCCCGGCCCCAGATACCCTCCTCAGTCCACCTGAAGCTGCTCACTGCCAGTGTAATTTTAAGTGAGATGTCAGAAAGTTAGTTTGCAAGTTCTTGAATTTGAGTAGTTGAAGGCAGGGGGAGTGGGTGATGTTGGTTGTTTTTTGGGTTTTTTTTGGAGGGGGATGTTTGTGGCTTTGTTTTTTGGGGTTTTTTAGGGGGAGTTATTTTGCTTTTGTTTTGTGGGTGTTTTTGTTTTATTTTGGTTTTTGCTTATCTATATATTCGCTCTTTTTTACCAAGGAACATCTGTGGCTATAAACAACTCAGCCAGGCAGGGGTATCAATGATGCTGGGAAAAAGATCAGTAGTGGCTTTAAAAGAGTGTGGTTAAAGATCTGTGTGTGGAGCACTGTATAAGGCTTCAGTTCATGTTAATATAGGGGTGTTTTTCTTTTTTTTAAGACATTGAATTCATCCCTGTGGACAGCACTTTAGAACCTGGAGCGGTAAAGGAGGCTTGTACTGGATACAGCCTCTACATCATGCCCAAGCTTTTAGCTGAACACAGATCTCTGAAGACAAAAAGCTGCTTTTCTCTGTCTGCCTTTTGCTACAGAGTCCTCAGTCCTTTCAGTCAGTTGTAAACATAGGAAGAAAGGGTTTTTCTAGGTATTCCTTTAATCAAAAATGTTAACTGTAGCATTCTTTCTGCTAAGGGGAAATTGTAGTATTTATTTGACTCAACAGGGAATGATAAAGGTAAAAATATAAAGTAAACAGAATTAGGTTTGTTTTTTTTTTTTCTTTTGTGTTTGTGACAAGAGATGTGACTAGACCATCATGATCTTGAGAACACTGAAATACTGACCATAACACTAGTTTTCATGCCCTTTTAGCCTTTCTGGGTGGGGAAATGCAGATGTTATTTCTCTGTCATCAAAGGAAAAGAGACTGACACTTCATAATGTTAAGACAAGACTGTCAGATTCCACTGGAAATAATGAAGTTTGACAGTTCCTGGGTTAATACTGCAAGTACCAATCCTGTAAATTTCAATTAGCCCTGACAGCAGTAGGGCTTAACGTGATGTTTATGTGAAGTGGTATGTTGGTAGCTTTCCTTCACACTTATGAGGAAAAGGATCTCTCTCTCCTCCGTTCTCTCTCTGTCTCCTTCCCTCCCTGCCTCCTCTGTCTTAGACATACACACACACACACACACACACACACACACACACACACACAGTAGGGTTCAGCCTTCACCCATTTAATCCTATTTATTTCTTGAGATGTCATGAAGGTACTTTAAGTGTCCCAGACTGTCTTTGTGAGGACAGACTTAGGAACCCAGCTATTCAGAACATAGGTATTAAGAATGGGTACCTAAAACTTGCCACAACATATTCCAACTTTAGCATTTGAAATTTTCACAAACAGTCCACTACCTGAGCTCTGTGGAGTTCTGGTAAAGGCAAGACACCAAACCTGATGCACACTTCCCTGCATAAAGCTGGTTCTGGTTCTGGTGTAGGCCTATTGTTGCCTTCCCCTCTGGAAAATGCAGCTTTGACTGGGAGCAGCTTTGCCAGCTAACAATAACCTTGTGATATGTACCAGTGAAGAGGTACTTCTGTGATACAATGTGATCACAGCTGAGCACCCACTTGCTTTAGGTCATTGTTGATGTCCACCCCAACTTCTATCAGCAAAACACCTCTTTGTGCTGCATCTTGTGTCAGTTCCCTGAATGAAATAAGCTATTACAGGCAAGAAGGAGTTTTTTAACTGTGTCTGTGCTAGCACTCTGGCTGATGTTAGCGGTGCTGCATGAAAATCACACCTCTAACCAGCTCTGTGCTGCATACTGCTTTACCAGCAAAAGTTTCTAATGCCATCCTGCTGTCATGTAGTCCTCCATGTCAATTTGGTGCTAAATATAGGTGTTATGTGTGAAAAGTTTGGCCTACCTGCTGTTCTTAAGAGAAGTCAACAATAAGCCTCGGTTGGGCAGAGGTTCCTCTAGCAAAGTGCAAACATGTTACCAACAAAAAGCCATCGTATCTGTGCTTGAGATGACCACAGGTATTATTTTTTTAAGCAAGTAAATGTGACACATATAAAAGTGCAGGACAAATAGCATTTGGATGGGCTTAGAAGGCACTGAGCAGTGAAGATCTGTCAGTGGCTTCCTTGGTAGCTGTCAGGACAGACATTTTGTGCAGGACTGACTTCCCTCTGCTCCCCAAGACTAGTGGGAGATGGTGTTCAATACATTGGACAAAAGAAAAATAGCTCTAGGGCTGAGTTCTCTCTTAGCAATTAAAGATAACAAAAATATATGTTAAAGCTAGTAAGAGCTTGGAAAATATGCCAAATTGTTAAGTTCTATAATAACAGTGAGGCTGATCTATTGGCACCCTTTCCACCCTGCACCACCTCTTGTTCTCTCCTGATCCCATACTGCTGAACTTGCTAAACCAACAGGTCATTATGCAGCAAAAGTATGAACAGTTTAGTGCTGAATTTTCTCCAGAGCTGCTGCCTTGGAGTCTTCCACTCCATGTAAGGCTGGAAGAAGTGATATGGCATTGGAACGTACCAGTAGGAGTAGAGCAACAGGAAAGCAGATCTCTCCTTTCAGCTGATGGCAAGTTATTGAAGCATCTCAGATATGAGGTTTGCCCATATTTTCAGTAATCTTAATTAATCTTTAATTCTGCTCAAATCTTATTTCAGCATGCAATCTTATCAGTCACAAACTCAGGAGGTTATGCTTAAAATTTTATGATAATACAATAAATCTAGGCTATGTTATGTTTTTCATAGGTCTTGGGCACCAAATGCAGCTGTCAGAGGAAAGATAGATGTTTGAGTTGTTCAGCAAGTTGAATTTTTGTCTAGCTAAAAATCTTGCCATTCTAGAACGATTTCTGCATGGACCTAAGATAATCAAAAAGAGGTAGTGTTAAGGAATTCTGAAAAGTCACAAATTTGTGTAAGTGGGAAATGTAAAAATTTTGGATTTAAAATGAAGCTATCTCATGTTGAAAACAATGAATCATAAGGCTAACATGGAGTATTTTCTCATTTTAATCTACTGAGTTGGAAGGGTGGAAAAATTAGTGAAATCACTGCTTGCCTTTGAAAACTGTGAAAGAAATGCATTCTTCTAATGGGAAAAAAATCAAATAGCTTAAATATTGTTATACACATTCATTGTGGCATTCTGTGTATGCTTTGATTTATCTCATAGTCTGTTTGTCTTGTATCCTTCCGTTCTTCCCACCTCCCTTGTTACTTGTTAGGTGATTTACTTAACACTTTGCAAGTGCCTCTTCTGTGCTATGCATATTCAATTTATCAGAGCTTCTTAGAACAGGTGTCCTCGGGAGAGGAAGTCTTTTTCCTTCCTGGCCACACTTTCTCTATACAAACATCAAACTGCAGTAATTGTCTCAACAATTTAGAGTCAGACAGCAAAGGCAAAGGTCCTCTTTTTGCCTTGTCTAGCAAGTGTGCTGATTCACTTCAGAGAGCTAGTTCCTCTTCAGAAGTAAGAAAACTCAAGTTCCTCACTGGAAATAAGGAAAGAGGTTCTTTTTCTTTGCTTTTTGATTGGGGACTCCTATTGTCCTGGAAGTCTTTGGGTTGCATTTCTTTAAAAAATCAAATTTTTGGAAGGACACAGTCCTGTTACAGCTTTGCTCTGCTGAATTATTGAAGGTTGTATAATAGCTTCAGTGGGATAAAATCAAACCAACAATGGATACAGTGCAAAATCCAGT